TTTCATTTCATTTTTTTTTCATTTCATTTAATATTATTTTTGAAATGAAATGGATTTTTTAATGAAATTTTAAATGCATTAAATGCAAGGTTGCATGCAACAACGGTCTGTTCTGTGTAACACTGTGTTTTCGCATTAAATTAAAATGTACATATATTATAAGTTGTTCTCAAATAAGAATATAAGGGAAACATATTTTTTTGTTTCATACTTTTCAGGATTATATAGGCGATCGAAATAGGGAGATACAAGTAGGGCATCACCCTTATTGTGGCTATGGAAACGATTGGATTAAAAAAGTTCCTTTATCACAGAGATAATATAGGTGGCAGCTATATCCAATTGCAGCTATTAGCTGCAATTGGATATAGCTGCCACCTATATTATCTCTGTGATAAAGGAACTTTGCAGCTATTAGCTGCAATTGGATATAGCTGCCACCTATATTATCTCTGTGATAAAGGAACTTTGCAGCTATTAGCTGCAATTGGATCCTAATTTATATTTTTAATATGCATTGGTCTTAACACCAAAAGTGTGATCTTCTTATCCACTCCTCAACAATTTCTTTTTTGTGATATCGGGGTCAAAACGAGCAGGCGATTTACATAGGTATAGTAATAGACTAAAGCCGTTCATGGATACTCAAAATAGACATGTGTGTTATTAGAAATTAGAGAGGGGGAGATTGGACCTCCAGTTGGTTGTTTAATAGATATTAGTTATTCGTTCATTATGTTCATTGTTATGCGCCATTTACGCGATTATCATCATATTTTTCATACAGGTTACCAAGAAAATGGAGTCGGGTCCATGTGTCCACGGGTCCTGTGATTTTACATTATCTGTGACTTTTCCTGGAAAAAAAAAGAACCCCATGGTTACCTTATTAAAAACATATTAAGATGCGTTTTAGACGAGTTGCAAACTGAAAACTGTAGCCGCAACTGTAAGTCAAAAGCTGGCGGTAAAAGCTGGTAGAAATAAAAAAAAAAACAATTATATTTAGCAAAGCATATTGTTTTATCTGTTTTTTAATCTAAGTGAATCAGACATATACGATGATTTGATTATATATATTATTCATTAATCATGTTATGTTATGGTGATAATTGTGAAGATAACTTATTTAATCATTTAATATTACTAGATTCGATTTTATGTTTTAGAATGACCTCGTATTTCATAAAGACAAATATTCGCTAAAATATGCCATTTCCTTGAAGTTTTTTTAATTGGTAAGAAATATTATAAATTGGTTCCAAAAACTGTAGACTTTCGTGGACGGCAGTAGGTACTTTCCCCTGTATCGTTAAAAAAATAATCGTGATAAAAAAAACATTTCAATAAAACTGATCATACAATAAAAATATACATCAGTAGTGGTAGTGGGCTCCGATTTCCCCATTTAGACTCAAGAATGGTCCTTTATGCATCCAGGAAAGATTGGCTCGGTTAACCAACCAAGCTCCTTCCAGAAGCACAGAAGTCTCCTGGGGCGTACACAGGCTTCTAGGAGCGCTCTTGTATCAGGTGTGATATTTGCCCGTTGTGTAGCCACTCCCTCGAATTTCAGGATTACGTGGGCGCATTTCTTCTGCTTTCAGACATCCTCTGCCAAGACGGCTGTCCGTCGCATTAATGGTGAATAGTTGTCGGTTCAGGGCTACGTGTTCTATTATAGATCCTACAACTATTCCGATATCTAGTCTGCTAAGACCGATCAGTGTGCAAGTAAGTCGTAGTGAGACTTCAGTCATCACCAGTATGAACTGTCTGCAGCCTGAGGGAGCTTTTCCACCTCCGGCTGTGTGCTTCACGAGTACGTTGTCTAGCCCAGTATCAAAATTGGTTGAATCGCAGTGGCAGGAGCATGGTTGGGCCGGTCATCTGCGGCATCCTTCTCGTGTGAATGACTGTGCCCTTTAATCCATTGGAGAAGTACCCCATTTATTGTAGCAGGCTGCTCCAATGCTTGATGGCATTCGAAGACAATACCAGAGGTCATTGAGCTGCCCTCCTACGCCTTTAGGACAGCCATGCAGTCTGAAAGTATTTGGATATCATAGCCCATAAAACCCCTTGACATGGCCGTTGTGCCGGCATAAGAAATTGCTACACATTAACATTGGAATATGGACTTGGCCTAACACTAATGATACGTCTATGTTTAGATCTTGTGAGAAAACTCCGCCTCCAGTTCCTGACTCCGTCTTGGAACCATCCATATAAATTCGGACTTCAATTATGAAAGAATGATCTCGGTCATTTCCTTGTGTCTGAATGTGGTATCTCTGGTAATGTGGTGTTTTGGGCTTCTGTCGCATGGGGCTACTATTAGTGGTTCGTATTCTATTAATTGATCCCATAATTTGGAGGCGATCCCTCAAATTGGTGCTTCAGACCCAGGTGTCTGATTCTAATGATCGCCTTGGCTATTTCCTGCTGTATGAACAAATCCAGTGGGGGTAGGCCAAAAAATATACATTTTAGAAGAAGAGAGGCAGAGAGAGAGAGAGAGAGGAGGAATGTGTAGAAGAATGCAATATTTTATACAAAATTTACTACGAATTTTAAAATTATGTAAAACGAGTAGAACTGATAGTTCAACGTGTATAAGAATATATTATATGTTACAAATAGGTCAAAGAAAACATAACATTTAAATTATAATGAATTATAGCGACAGTAGTAGGGGAGACCGAGGGGAGTTGAAACAATTTTGACATTTTGTTTCATACACTAAATACTATAGACATAAATCGTATGATATTAGTACCAATCGATAGGTCATTCTTTACACTTGCGAATGACTAACATAAAGAAATTGTAAGCCTTAAATATTGTGGTGAAAAAACGACTTAACCGTAACAAGTCAACTTGTTTCAACTCCCCTCATACCGAGATAAGATGAAACAGGGGCCGAGGAGAGTTTAAACATAATGATTTTTGAGAAGTATTAAGGGCTGTAAAATAAAAATTATTTTAAATTTAAAGGTATTTATTAAAATAAAACTTTTCAAGTACGAAACAAACTTTTTTATTAATATTTTGGACTGATATATCAGTTAAGTAGGTAACTAAAGGTTAATAGAAATAAACAACTCTTAAAGTAGTTAAAAGTACCATAACATCCTATTCGTAACATTAATAAAAATACCAGTCAGATAAACAAAATGTTTTACATTCTTTAATTATATATATACATATATATATATATGTACATATATATCTTTACCATAAAATAATTATTAACTCTCAGTCATTTCTAAAGTATTACAATCAGTGGCAAACATAAGAAAGTTCAACACCAGTGCAAGCTTCATGAGCCCAGTTTTTGCATACCAGACATTACACCCATTTTTCTTTGGCTCTAAACAACAAAGGCAAAAGGATTCTTCTTTATCTTCACTGATCCTTGATCTTTTTAGTTTTAGTACCTAGTTTGGATCTTTTTCTTGTTTTTATTTCTTCAAAGTTTTTTTACCTTTTTCTTAGCCGTTCTAGTTGCCACGATTGCAGCTAGTTCATCCTTTACTTGAGTGTTGGTTAAGATAGCGGCTTTCACTTTGCGTCTATTTGTTTGATTTCCTTTCCTTGGTGGCGCCTTTGGCAAGGGTCTAAGAGTTTCAGGTGAGAATGGAATTGCTGTCACAGTAACTGAAGTGATGTAGATGCTACAGCTATAGATCCAGTGGTTGAAGGCATTGTGATAGTATTAAGCATTACTTCAGACATCGCTAGATCAGGTGAATTCTTATCAGCATCTTCTGCAGACTTGGGTACGTCTTCTGTTTCGTAGCTGATTTGAGGAGGAGTAGCGGGTAAATTTAAGATTGATGGACTTGGTGTACTAGAATCATGTAAAATACTGATATGAAATTGAAAACGAGGAGAGTTGAAACAGCCTGTTTCAAATTTCCTCACTAAGAAAAAACCTCCCAATTTTTATTTAATCCACAACCAAGAAACAAATACACAGAAATCAATAGTACTAAATATATATAATATGTCTTTAGTTAATGAGCCTTCGAAACATATATAACTTAAACCAAAATACAAAACCCTTATCAAAATATAGGCATCGTAAAAAGGCGTTAAAAACTTACTTTTCACGATTTTTGTCACATGGCATGCAGATCTTCACAACCGCGCGACTTATGCCACCGACGCGAACTGACACATCAGCGGACGGATGGAAGTGGTTAAAAAGCGACGTTGCCAACTCGCTAACGGTTTTAAGTTTCTAGAAATCCCTACTGTTTCAAATCACCTTTGTTTCAAATCCCCTCGGTCTCCCCTACATACAATAATCTTGCCCGTTAACAGAAATCTTATATAGTATGCAATAGAAGAAAACCACACACGCATCAATACCACATCAACAGCCTTTAACAGTCCACTTCTGGACATAGACCTCCCCTTAGAGAGGAGGATAATTAGCGAAATTTCTGCCAAAATATACACGTTTATTTATTATCTGTATGGATTATAATTCCAGCTATGATCAAAATAGATTAGAATCTAAATTTAAAGCAAATTACTTGCTGCGTACAACTTAAAATCATCGTTTATTGTATAGATAATCTAAGTCATTATTTTAAATGTACATTTTTTTGAAAAATCAAGAAATTAGGACATAGTAAATGCTTCTTAGACAGTAGGAGACAATTGACTGATTTATACTAAAGAAAACAATTTCTAGAGTTTACTTTAGCAGTAGTTCTGTAAAAGAAATATATTGTGCTTTATTACGAGTAATAAAGCACAATATAACTACTTCCAATAACATTGTTCAAAACGTCTATAAGCAAGTATACGGAACTTAAAAATCCCCGCAAGTCTAAATGTACACAAAAGATAACAATAGATTAGTCAAAATAATCAATATCTCGCTTGATAACGTTATCTGTGAAAGACATAAGGTAAAATGATTTTCAATGTTAGCTTGTCAGTGGCGCAAATCAATACGTTTATTGTGTGAATAAATTGAGTGAACAATGGAAGATAATGGCAAAAATAACGTTGAAAATCTTAAGAGACGACATTTTTCTAAACTACATGAAAGAATTCAAAACAAGTACATGGAAATGCAACGAAAACTTGAAAAATCAAAATCAGTCGACTCGTTATGTACGATTAATGATGATTACGTTTTTATGGAAAATAAATATGCGAGTAATACTGACATAAGCGATATTGATGATATAATGAGTGGCAATTTTAACCAGAAGTGTGTTAAACAAAATGTTATTTTGGAAGAAGTAAAAATCAATGAAGCAAATTTACAATCTGTGAATGCAGAGCAAGTGAATATTGCGGAATCTGATGCAGTGGCTTATGAAAGCAATAAAAATGAAAATGAATCTATTACAAACAAGTTTTTTGGGGACGATTTTAGTGCAATGAGTCTTGAATCGTAAGTATCTCTTGTTATATCATCTAAAGAAAACAATTGCAATGTAATGAGGAATACTCTAAATATTTGCAGATTAAATGAAGGGGCCAGAGAAAGCGATGAATACCAAACCTCTCCCGCTCCTACGCCTACTCCTACTCCTACTCCTCCCCCAACAAATTCAATACGTAACAGAATCGAATCGCGAATATCAGCTGTTAAGGTCAGACGTCGAGAAAAAGAAAAGAAACACAAGGACGAGAAGAAAAAAGCCAGAGAAAAAGTCGATAAGGTTTATTTTATTTTTATTTTTAGTGATTTTAATTAATGCCATTACTTCCGCAGTTTTAATCTTTGACTCTTAAAAGTAACAACATCTAATATACTTGCTTTATGAACTGGAATGAATTCACTAACGTAGAAATGTGTTTAATAGTTTATTTTTAGTAACAAGAAAGAAGAATTTCCTAAACAATTTAAAAAAGAAAAAATTGCAACTGTAAGCATCGCTGTTATAGAAGCTACAGGATTCGAAACAGACGCATTAGAAGAAAAACCATCTCGTTCATTGTATTGCCGATTAAGGTAAAAATATTAAATAACTTTAAACTTTTTTGGAAACTAGTAGCCTAATTAATACATGAACACATAAATCTGTATACTGTGAAGACCATATAGTACAAACAAACGAAAGGTAAAAACATCATATTATAATATTAAGAATAATCACGGAGGTCCAAATAGAAGTCTCCTGGCAACTATTTTTTTTAATTTTTGGGTCGGTTCCCAACAATACATTTAAAACTTTTTACGTATCAAACGTACTGTCTATTTTTTGAAAGAGGTATTGTAAATGGATTAATAATGATTATATTGTATCAGAACAAATTTTTAGAGACTTACATATAATGAATAGATATTTGGTTCTGACTGTACATATGTAAAAAAAAACAATCTATATTTTTATTGTTAATAGGTTGGGCGGAGAAAAGAATAAAACAAAAACAGTAAAAAACAATGAATCACAAGTGAAATGGCAGGAATTATTTTGTTTAAATTTGTTTGAAGATAATATTCTGGAGTTATCAGTATGGGATAAAGACACCTGCTTAGGTAGGTAAGTAGCGTTAGACTAAGATCAAAAATTAAATAACAAAACATTCCGTTTTTTATAAGTAAAGCTATTTTTGTTACATTTAAAAATAATTGTATTTGTTATTTCTATATCATACCTACTGTTTGTACACACGCAGATATTCTGATGTGAGTTCAAAAGTATTACTATGTCCACTGTATAAATACAACTGTCGTAAAAATAAGTGCAGTTTGGCATCGCAAAACATACCACATTTAGAATATCTACTTGTTTATATTCAGATATTTTTCCAAAAAATATCTTATTCCAGAACCCATGTTGATTTATCAGAAATGGAAAAAGAGAGGACACACAAAATGCGAATCAACTTGTCAAGTGAAGTGGGGAACTCGACGTTACAAATATTTATTTTGCTAACAATAAGTGGGATCTCCCTAGCGAACACACTTATGGATCTCGATGATTATCAAGAAACTCAAAAGCAACTCGCCAGGGCTAAGAAGAAATTTGTAAGTACTCTCTTTGTCAGCTCTCGGTTTAATATTTACAATAAGATGAATCTGTATTATTAGCGTTAAGGTTTTTGTCGATCTTATTTTATGTTGATAAATTGTACAAAGGTTTTATTTTAATACATTTCTACATTTAAATATATCATCGTGTAACCATTTGTTAGGAATTATGGGTAATTTTCTAACAGAAGTTATACATTTTAAATCAAATGCCCAAACCATTCACCATTCACCACAAGCCATTCAGATATGAGAAGTTTTCCTTCAAATGAAAATATTGTTTAATATGTAATGTTTTAATATGTAATCATATTTGTTATTGCTTGCCAGCAGTGGACTGCGATAGGCTGATGATGATGTTAATGATATGATAATGATGATGAATGGCAATGTTCCATTAAGTTCATGTAAGTATAGAAGTAGGTAGGTAGGTACAGTGTAGAGAGTATAGAGTTCTAGTTGTAGTTTACTACTACAAGAACCGAGTCTGAATTCTGAGTGACACAGATGAATCTTTAACCGTCCTAAAGTGCAATTAGAGTATGCAATTATCAGACCAATTCATTATTCGAATATTCCGGAAACTTCCAAAGACGTATCCGAATAAATCGTGAGAATGTGGATTTGGGATACCACAGTCAAAACCTCACGAATACACTTTGAATATATGTATTGGTATGGTTAGCTAAATTAACAACATTGTTACTAAGACTATAAATTCTATAATAATCAATAATTGCATTATACTAAAAAACTTTTACGTGTAGCATTAAAGCAGAATATCTCTTAGTTATGGTATTTTTCATCTCTATTAAATTATTTAAAAAATGTTAATATTTTAATTAATAAATAACATTGCTTTAATGATTGTAATGAGTACTTTTTAGTAAAAGAGAGTCATGATGTCTGAGTGAAGTATTTTTTAATTATCTTCATACTAATTTGTTTAAATATAAAACGTAAATGATTTACCTACTTTACAACCTACTTGACAAAAATCTAGTTGAAAATGAATTTTAAGTTTTCTGTTTTTTCTTTAAAAAAGTGCTATAATTGTCTATTTAAATCAACTTCTTGTGTTACTCTATTTCTGATTCTGCATTTATGAAGTATTCGTATAATATAAGTATCACATTTCAGTTTTTTTTGTTAACGAATCAAATCTACGTGTTATCGTTAAAACCTTCTCATCAATAATCATCAATCACATATAAATCATTGCTATTAACATTTCGTAGTCTAAATGTAAGATTGCAGTCCTGTGTGTGGCTTGTATCGCAGCTATTGTCAGTGCATCATATCTTCAGGTGTTCGTTGGTATATCTATTGTAAGTTATCAAAACACGGTTTCTTGCATACAACGAAGTCGGTCCTTATAATACAAAAAGGCACTGTATTCATAACTATAGGAATTAGTAAGTATTGATAGTTATAAATGCTTATAATACTTACTACGACTTACGTAAGTAATGGTTTTACTCACATAAATCATTACGTAAGTGTTGTTTTTGTGTTTCTAATATCTAAACAAGTTAATAAACAACTCTAAGCTAATGGCTAATTTCAATGTTTCCGACACACTTACTGCTAGAACAAGACCAAAACCAAAATTGGCGAAGCCTCATCTCGGCTGTGGAAACAATAACCATCAGTAACAATTGAAATGGTTTGCCATGTTATGTATATTCATGAAATCGTTGTAATAACAGCCTTCTACTAATAAATAACATTCTAATTATACTTATTTTTGTAATAAAAAGATATGCAACAGTTTAATACAAATGCTAATTTCACGAAACACGATTTAAATGCTAGAATTAAGTATTTTTGACATTAAATTTAAAATAAAATTAAATGTATGCAACAATAAAAACGGTACTTATCCATATTATTCGTCTTATTTGAATGCTCTAATAGGTTAGTAACAATAGACAGAATATTAGGATATATATATATATATATATATATATATATTATATATATATATATATATATATATATATATATATTATATATATAAAATCAAGTTGCTATTTTCAATTTTTATTATGTTATATATACATGTTATATACATAACAGTTATAATGTTGTCTATATGTGAATTCTGTTCATATTTGTAATTAGAGTAGAAAGTGAACTTAGTTTAAAACTAAGTATGTATGTAACTGTGTATGTAATTTTGTGTATGAATGTATGTGTTTATTCTGTCATCATTGTCATCATCAGTCTATCGCAGTCCACTGCTGGACATAGGACATAATTTATTCAGATCTCCGGATATCGTGTCCTATGCGTATTAAAGTTACACGTTTTAGCAAATACTGCTGACTGTACGTAGTACTATCAATAAATAAATTTTAATTGCTACATATATTAATGAGGATTTGTGTTCACAGGCATGGTATAGTGTCAAAAATAAATTAAACAATGTTGGAAGCCTCATGGTAATTGTTTATGGTGCTAAGGGAGTGGCAAGCCAAGAGTGTTGCTGTGTACTTGAATTGGATAACGTACGACTTCAGACGCACACAGAATTTAAAACAAATGAACCGAACTGGATGAAAATATTTACTTTGTAAGTTTTGTAAAAACTTCAAAAAGAGATTTTTTAGTAGACTGACAAAAAGCTACGACTTTTTGTATTTTGTGTTCGATAAATCTATGTTTGGAAATGCAAGATAAAGGTTGATTTTAAGTTGAATTTTAACAGTGAGAATTTAAATTTGTCGTGACAGCTTATCTAGTAAATTTTCTTTGAACTTTTTACTCTGTCGCGTCTAATGTACGTCATACGTACCTTACAAATTCTGATCTGAAATCTACAAATTATTTTGCAGTAGTTGTATTTAAGCGTTATGAACGTGGTATTATTCTTTTTTTCGTTCACGGTCGGCTAACTGTTTAAACCTTGCTTACTACGATCAATTTTTTGCCAGCCATCCTTGAGGTGCAACATATTTATATGTTAAGGATTATCTTTAGGCTGAGGTAAGTAACAGGATGTTTAAACAAAAGAATTTTTATTTTGTGCACGCCGTTTTAATGATATTGATAATTTTAATAAGTACTAAAATCGTTACACGTACCATCCGTTACATTACACGCACAGGTCTATGAAAATCCTGAATCAAATTACCAGGGCGATTGAATCTCTTGACACTGATATTATTTAAGTAATATTATTTTATGAGTAAATATATTTTCAGATTGTATTTATCGCAGCACGATACTTTGATTTCAACTTTTTTATTAATACACAAGTATTCTTTCGAATGACACTAATGATTGCTCAGATTAATGTTCAACGCAAACGCAGACCGATACCGATACATTTATATAACTTCTCTCTCAATAATCGTATCGTTACTTCAGATTTCTTTATATTTTCTAGTGACATAACTGACGTTACATCAATATTAGACATCACAGTCTTTGACGAGAAGAAAACCGAAGAAATTGGGAAAATCTCAATACCTTTACATAGAATTAACAGTGGGGAAAAGAAATGGTACGCTCTTAAAGATGCAAATTTAAGAGACAGAGCTCGCGGGAATAATCCGAGGATATTAGTTGAAATGATCCTCACTTGGAATCTTGTAAGTATTGCACGGTCACGAATTTTCCTCTTAGGAATGGCTGAAATTGGGCTTATGATGATTAAACCTATTGTATATCTATTTCCCAACAATTTGCTATATCTATTCTCAAATATAACTAACAGTAAACAAAGAAGTAATGTGATAATATATTTAACTAGATGACTATAATTATGTCTGTTTTTATACCTGTTCAATTTAAAAAATCATAATCAACTTTAATCCAGGACTTTCCTGACGTGACGTGATGTTACTAAATGTGACATTTCATTATGAAGTATAACTCAGCATTTACAACTAAATTTAACTTTTTTTTGCAATTCATAGATGGCGAAGTGATTATCTGTTAGTTACTCAAATAATCAATTTACCCTTTTTAGATAAAAACCGTGATTTGAATCTTTAAGATATTTAAATAGTAATACAACGATAAAATGATGTTTTGTTAAATAGTTATTTATTTTAATCTTCCATTTTAAATGTTTACAGCAATAATAGGTAAAAAGTAAAACGGAAAACGCGTTCTAAATAATTAATAGAAACATTGTTTTTAATCAGATATAAATCAAATAATGAATGCATTTTTGTGTTTGTAATTTGTAGTAATAAAAACCCATTAGATATAATTAAAGGTACTGCTATCTTTACACAGATCGCAGAAGGCCTTTGTTCTAAACAAAATTTTAACATTTAATTACATAGATCAATCCATACAGTGCATGTTACAACGTTACAATTCTTCCGTCCACCTCGAACTTTAGATTTTATTCAAAGTCGTGTTCTATTCTTAGATTCAATTCATTCTATATAGATCGTTCGATGATCTTAAAAGTGTGGTATCTTGGTATACCACTATATTATTTTAATTTTTATTCTATATGTGTATGTATGTGTTTATGTGTTAAATTTTGTCAATTCTTCACCGAGTAATCCAACAATCAATATAAAAATGTAAGGAACAATTTGTCGTGTATGTTTTATTAATTATTTTATATTACCTATACATACAGATAATGTAATTTTAGTGTTGTTTTTGTATCTACAACACCAACCAACAAGTGTTGCTATTATTTATAAAATAAAGTCGTTAAAAACCACAAAATATTTAAAAACCTTTTTTTACATATACTTCAAATAATTTTAGATAGCAATCTACAATAAAATAAGAATTACGACAAAATAAGAATCTATGTAGGTATTTGTTTTTGACGTCACTGTTTAAATATTTACCTTTCTGATTTAGAAAAAAAAACACACAGATAATAAGGTATTATAACTATAACTTTTTTGTAGGTCAGAGCTGCAATTCGAGTAATAAATCTTAAAGAAATTAAACTCTTGGCGACAAAAGACAAATTAGACAGACATATATTTGCGAGAAATCTAGCAAGAGCTAAAATTGTCCTGAACTGGTTCTTGAATGCATTGAAAGTTATGAAGTAAGTAATTGTAGACTTGCAGACACAGCAAATATAGATACACACTTTTAGATTTTTTTATTACACGCCTCGTATTGGCTTGACCTGAAAGCCATCCGTGCAGTCACAATTTGACTGCACGGATGGCTTAGTGGTTTAAGCGGTCGTCACGCCGCTTCCTACTGCGCCGAGTGTTGTGGGTTCAAACCCCATATGGGACGACACTTTGTGTGATCCACAAATTGTTGTTCTGAGTCTGGGTGTTCATTTCATGTATGTTTGTAAAGTCAACAAGCGGTAGTCACTTTCCGTCAGATGACCGGTATGATTGTTTACCTCTTATATCATAAAAAACGTTCTACAGTAGTTTGTATAATCGTAGCCTATATAATATTATCTATACCATTTACATAAGATATACGTATTGGCATAGGCAACTAACTTTACGACTGATTTATTCTGACTTACTACCACTAATTAAAATAAAAGCTATTTTAATTAAATAATTTGAAGAAACAAACCCCTTAATTTAGATACAATTTTAAACACAATATAAAATCGACTACATATTTTTTTTTTTTAGTCGATAAACCACAACGCAATAACTTCGAACTTGTTATTTAAATCTTCCCCAACTAAGTAAGCACTTTATTGGCATTTGATTAGCTCGTTTCAGCTAATTGCGCTTCCGGCAGAGTCTTTATAATAAACTAGGTTTACCTTAATGCAATTTATCCGAAAGGGGCTTGCGGAAAATGGACGATTAAGTCTGAAATAGTTGGTAACTTTTTTAAATAAACTAGTGAAATTACAAAACTGTATTTTATGTATGTTATCTACCTCTATGATTCACACATAGTAATACTATCGCTACAAAAATGTCAACCTTGTCTTATACAAATACACAAATCTGTTAATAGTAAAAAAAATCACCGAAATTGATTTATACGATTCGAAAACAGCAGCGGATGTATACAATCGTACATGATCGAAAGGCAGCTTGAAAATAAGACCCTTTCCTTTCATTAAGTAATGCAAATTTTTTTTTTAAACATTCATTCCGAAATTTTAATAACCATGGCTAAGAACAAATTTTCAATCAGAACTACACAAAATCGATAGTGGCCTGGCCATAGTTACAAGGGCGATGTAACATCAAAATTAAAATAATTTTATTTTCAGGACATTCCTAGAGTGGGAGTCGCAGAAGCTGAACTTCATATCACTGATAATATGGTTACTGTTTTGTTGGTTCTTCAAAATCTGGATGCTACCACTCTTGCTACTAATACCCTTCGCTTGGTACAGGCCTCCTAAATACTTTCTCGTCAACTGTAAGAACTGCTTTAACTAGTTCTCATTTATTCATCATCAACAGCCTTTACCAGTCCACTGCTGGACATAGGTCTCTCCTTAGAAAGGAGGTTTTAGCCTACTATACCACGCTGGCCGGACGGGTTGGTATAGGCTTTGTGTCAAGTTTTCCTTATCTCTGCAGTGCTGCTGTCTTGCGTAGTTTGCTCCCTTAGTCGCCTCATTTGTTAGCTAGTTTAACTTTTCTCTCTAGGTAAATGACTTATTTCCTGAAATAAGACTACATAAATCTAAAAAGGAATGCCAGATTCTTTTTTTTTAATTCATGTAATTCACACAATTCATGTGTAAAGACGCCTCTGCCAAACCCTTCGGAAATCCAATGCGAGTGTCTAAAAAAAATATTTTTTGTTTCGCAAGTATCACACATGTGGCAAATAACCAATTAGGATTACATAACATGGTTAAGAAACCAAATAAGAACTCATTTAAAAATACTTGAGAAGAATTTGGAGAGGATTAATAATTGTACCTCAGGCTGTTTTGCCTGTATTTCTTTGAACCGTTTTAGCACTTTAGCATTCAGGTTCTTATGCCTAATGTCTGTATTTAAATACAATATGATGTATGTAAATGTATGTATTTAAATACTCCTGCACTTTGAATGACATTATCGTGGTCCACTATACATTATATCTCAAGTAGTGCATGCGTTTGATGATGATAGGAACTAACTTTTACTGCTTTACAGATTAATTGCAAATTATTGTTTACTAACTTTAACTAACACTAGTTAATACTTTCAAATTGCAGGGAAACAGGCCCTTCTAAATAGGAGACCAGTTCAGGATGTTGTAAAGAAGGTGAGTAGATAGTAATAATCTTGTAGTCATATCTAAAAGTCATCGGACTTTTAAATTTCAATAAAACATAAACACATTTTTTTGAACGAAAGAAAACATTCCAGTGTTATAACTTAATTCAAACCAACTCCAAAATAAGATTACATTATTCTGTAACTCGTTGTATTAACATTTTTGAGCCCGAAAATAAAAGTTTTTAAATCGTTTTAGCCGCCTTGAACCTTGTTTCTTTCTGCCTTTTATATAATATCATGTTTTAACTTATATTTATTATACTACTAGCTGATACCCGCGGTGTTACCCGCGTTTGTTGTTATAACCGCGGGCAACGCCACGGGGCGAAGCTAGTCTAAAAAAGGAGCCTAAGTTACTCCTTATGTCATCATATCTATCTAGCTATGTGCCAGTGAAAGTCCCGTCGAAATCGGTCCAGCTGTTTAAAAATTGTAAAAAACGTTATTTGTCATATGTACCGTGTAAACATACATATCATTTAGTAAAAAGCGGTTATTTTAATATTACAAACAGACACTCCAATGTTATTTATTTGTATAGATTACTATTTTAAAACCCGATCAAACAAGAGGACATATTAATGCGTGAGGTTTTTCGCGGGATCGTAACGGAAATGATAAGATACCCTGAGAAACAAAGGCGTTGTTGAAAAGGCCAGAAAATTTAAATGACAATTGTTAGAGGGCTCATAGTACCATCATCAATGCAATATCCTCCAGCAAAAATAATTCCTATGTTCTTGTTACATTTTCAAAACTGGCTCCGACTCTCTTTCTATCTCTAGCCCATTGGTTGAAGAAATGTTTTTTTCAATCCGACAGTCTAAAATTAACCAAAACTAATTGAATTATAACCAAATACACATTTTATTATTACAGGAAGAGAAAAACCTTACACTTAGACAAAAATTAAACAGCTTTCAAGAAATGATACAAACGGTGCAAAACTTTATCGGCGAATTTGCGAATCTCGGTGAAAGTATCAAAAAGTAAGTCTCTTCTTAGACCCTATTTCAAAAACTGAAGTACCCTTGTCTCCTAATAATTGCGTTATTTATACATTCCTATTAATAAGACACTTATTGGGCAAACTATCGAAGAATCTGTTTGTAGTATCAGTTACAGTTAAGACTGATGAGTGATTTTGCAGAATCTAGCATCCTTAGAAATTTTATGATAGACCTGTTTATATGTTAACATTTTCAGCAGTCTAATGACTGAATAGATAACAATGAGAAACGAAATTAAGAAAATATAATTAAATTGTAATTAATAATATTTTTAGAATATTCCTACAACGGACTGCCTTCGCAAAGCTTTGTAGTAACGGACATTTTATGAATTAATTTTTCAATAGATGGCTGAATAGAGAAGAAGGCCTCCTTTCATAAAGTTTTGTTTTGTTCGCAGCTTGTTCAACTTTACGGTGCCATTTCTAAGCTGCACCGCCATATTTCTAATCACGGCTATCGCTTTCGTTATGTTCATGATACCTACTAAATACATATTTATGATTTGGGGTAAGTTCACAATTCTTTTTCTATTGTAAAGTCCCTGATATATCATAGTTATACATGGACATATATATAGATAGTCATAATCTACTATACACTGATCGAGTTTTTATTTCCATTCGGTTTATCTTGTTTCTTTAACCAGGTTCTAACCTTTAATTATACACAATCTATATTCTTATATAGATTGTGTATTATTCACAAAGGTAAAACCTTACCATTCCCGTGTATTCTACCTTTTGTTTTGGGTGAACTTATTACCGTAAAGATTGCCGTGTCGATAAAAATTCGATGACACCACACTACTACTAATGTTAATAAGAACTACTGTGCCTAGGCGTTCCTAGACACAGTAGTTCCATGGTTACTACTTTCCATTAAGTGGAAGGCAGTCCTTATACAATATACAAACACTTCTTTCATTTTTTGTGTTCTGAAATTGCTTAAAATTTCACACATTTATTCTTAATTTATGCAGCAGCACTTTAGTAAAGACATGGTCAAATTCAACTTGTCCTGTCATGAAAAAATTATAGAAAAATTATAAAATTAAATCTTTGAACCTACCTACTACGATATTGCTACCTCTTATTGCTAGTCTATTATAAAAATATTCATTTTTGCAGGTATTCACAAGTTCACTAGAAAAATACTTCGACCTAACAGAATACCGAATAATGAAATTCTCGATCTGCTCTCAAGAGTACCTAATGATGAAATACTGGTAAAATATTGCATTCATATGCACTTCTCTTTTTTTTTCACAGTGAGAGGCTCATACCTCCTACCTGTCGGATTACTGCTATTATAATAATAATATGAAAAACCTTGATTACTTTTAATAATACCCGCCTGATAGGTTGACCTTTTTCTTAATTGGGTTCACACTGTTTAATATTTAGTAACCTTATATTTTCTTGATAAAAATTTGCATTTAGTTAATTGGTGTGACAACGCCATTAATTTTTTTAAATTTATGTTACAGCTAAATTGTGAAGAAATTCCATTGGAAGAGGTTTTGGATGAAGATGAGATAAAATAATGATCTGATTCTTACTAGGCATACTTATTAAAACTAATTATAAGTAATATTAATTTTAATATTTTATTTGTGTTGCTGGAATAAATATTTTAAAGTGAAATGTAATTGTTACTCTCAGGAGACAATAATAACAGTTAATTTACTGTACTATCATTCATCATCATCATCATCAGCTTTTAATATTCCACCGCTGGACATAGGCCTCTCCTTAGAAAGGAGGTTTGGGCCTACTATACCACGCTGGCTAGACGGGTTGGTATAGGGGTTGTTCCAACCAACTCCAACTCCAACTTCAACTCCAGCCGGTCATCGTCGAGTGGGCAGGGCGGCAGCACGGGACCCTTTCCTTCCGGCTGACGCAGGTCGGGAAGTACCTGCACTCGGTCGGTAGGAGGGAATTGAGTCCCGCCTGTCACCACTGCAATTGCAATGAGGACTCGGCAATTTGCCCGGCTTGGGCGCCGCAGCGCCGAGTCCTCATTGCAGTCATCGGGGAGGATCTCTCGCTACCGGCCGTCATACGCTCCATGGCCGGTAGCGACAGATGTTTTACCGCGGTCGCATCCTTCTGCGAAGACGTCATCTCGCAGAAGGAAGCGGCGGAGTCGGCCCGGGAGGACAGCCTCCACTCGGACCCAATCCGTCGCCGGCGAACTAGGCGGCGGAGGCGCGCTTATCACCGCCTCATGCCGCCCTGAGTGTGGCCGCGGGTGGACGGGACGTGTTTTCCCCTCCACCTGCCATAACGGCCAGCCGCGAGGAGGCGACGTCCGCGTGTGCCGGACGTCGCCTAAATAGAGAATGTACCCGAAGGTGGTGCGGGCAGGCGCTAGGAGGGGTCCGGAGGTCGTAATAACAGCAGTTCCCGGATCCCTCCTATTACAGGCGCAGAGTGGCACACCGTGTGGTTTTAGTCGGTCCGATTCCAACACACCACGGTTTTAGACGGCCCGAGGGGGTTTCCACACGTAAAAAAAAAAAAAAAAAAAAGGGTTGCTCTTTACAGTGCCGTAGTCCTCCGTAGTTTGCTCCCTTATTGGACTCTTACGACACCCACGGGATGAACAGGGGTGGTGACACTCCGTATTCTTATTCCGTCACCACTATCATTACTTATATGTAACAAGCTTTACCTCGCGGCTGCACCTGCGCGTATATGGGTAATCGCAGTAAAAAGCCTATGTTCTTCTTCAAGTATCAAATTATCTCCATTCCAAATTTCAAGTCTTGAAACGTCTTCACGTCTTGAAAGCGTAACAGACTGACAAACAGAGTTACTTTCCCATTTATAAGGATATATATATAGTAAGGATATTTTGAAAGATAAATCTAATAAAATATAGGCAATAGTTTAATTTTCAAGCCTTAAAGGTATGAAAATCATATATTTACGTAATTGAATGGAAAATTGCACAATTTACGAATTCAGTGGAAAATTAAAACACAAAAGTTATATTTTTCCACGACTCTTTTCACTTTTGTAGTCAGTCTGCATCACGGTGTGGAAGTTATTTGTGATTGGTTTCCCTTATTTTTGTTTTTCATCACGTTACCGTATTGAAGAATATTTAAATTAAACAAAAAGTGTTTCATTGACAAAAATATTATTGACTGACCTGTTGGTCTGATGGTTAGTGGTCCTGACTACTAAACCAGAGACTGCTACCCAGGACAAATTACTATGTCATGAGCACGACCATTTGTTCTACCTCTGGGTGTATTTTATCCATAATGTGCACGTATTTAGAAACATATAAGTATGTTTATTAGCAGTCTCGTTACCATAGTACAGGCTCTGCTTAGTTTAGGATCGAACGGCCGTGTGTGAGATGTGCAAAGTTATTTCTTTAAAGGAACCTTATGAATGGGTTAAGGCCCTCACCGTGACATTGTACTTGACGGTTGAAAGCGTTTCTTATCTTCCTACTTGTGAATGGAATAATAGCCTTCTAGAGATTTTCGTAGTTGTTCTAAATATACGAGTACATTCGGCAATTCTGTTTTAACATAATTTTATATATGTTGTCTCAATTGAATGAACGATCAAATGAAAATATTTATCAATTAGGTGTTAGATAGGGCAAATATTTAGATCCATATCCAGAAATACGAAGCCTATGGGATGTTTATTTGGTTGGATTCATTTAGTCGCCTATCGGAAATGTTGACAAATGATCTGTGCAAATGGGAGCTTTAATACACTGGTGGGTAATTAGCCACCACCTCGGTTTGTCTAGGGAACCATCTGTCTATGTTTAAAGAATTACTCCATTGGATTGTATCTTAAATGATGATGTGCCATCTTTTACTTAGTCTGAGATATTATAGATTCTGTTTAAGACAATGAAATATGTTTTTGGAAGATTGTTTTCTAAGTATTTTGTAAAATAAGACAATACTACCGCGGTACTTTACAGTGTCATGTCATCAGCATGTACTCGTACATGTTACATGACATTACCCATTGCAATACAAAAAGTATTAAAATTTTAGATAAAGATATAAATATTTATTTCTATTTACATTTACAAATTGAAGAACAAACTCCGCATCGTCAAGATACCCAAACCATTTCCCAATTTTCTTTTTGGGTCGGCGCAATAATAAACTTTCAAACCATTCAAAGCCCAAAATGATTATTAAAGCACAAATGAGCATTAAAGTACAAAATGATTATTAAAGCACTTTAAGAATGTAATCATATACACAGCAAACAAAGAAAAATGTATAAGACGAGGGAAATAAGTTAAAGAGTACCAGGAGTTTCAGATCAGGAGAGGAGGCTGACAGACTGCAGTAGCTCGAAGCGGCTGGATGCGCGTTCTCGTATTTTCGTTCTTGGATTAGAGAGACCACGTGGACAGGGGTCCTAGCACCTGATCGCAGGACACTCTAGTCACCGGTCATGTACTACCGGTCACTAGATTTACTACAGTATTTTTTAATTAATTATTTTGGTTCGATAGCCTATTGAGCTCTAAAGTTACCTTTTTACGTTTATGTCCTTATTCGATCTCAAGAGCTTCTTCGATATCTTAAGAAAAGAAACTCGATTCTTAAGAAATACCTGACATTTGCAATTCTAAATTTATATTATAAAAAAAATTAACAAAGATACAAATTTAAATGTTCGTTAAAAACATAGTGCTTATAAAGGTCTTAAGTGTGAGATTAAATTACCGTTAACCTATGCCCTAAATAATAAATATTTATAAGATAGCCTGGGGCCACGGTTCTGTGTTTATACTTGGAAAACGAAAAATAGACTTGACCATTAGTCATGTGGCCGTGAATTTACAAAAATAAATTGTTTCCAATCAAAAAACAATGTGTACTTAGGACCACTTTATATTTACGAAAGGGCAATTGAAAAACATTATATAACTCTTCGCAGATAATTTATTTACACTCCGCTTATATTAATCATAAAATAGTCACTTACTTTTTCTACATAATAACTTGAAAAATAAGAATAACATAATTCGATAAATGTAATCACAGGTCAACTATTGTATATTTATTTTGTACCGCTTTACGTATTATAAAATTTTACCATGCAGATAAAACTTATACTACAATATCTTTACCGAGTCTGTCAAACTCGTTAGCAAAGTATACCATATCTTTGTGGTCCAAAGCGGAGTTTTGGAACACGATACGGAAGAAGTTGACGAGGTCGCCCTGTGGCTGATAGGTCACCATCATGCTTCCTTCCTTGATCATGCGCTCCTTTAATTTCGGCGCGACCTTGTGTAGCCTCTCTTTATAATCGGAATCGTTTTCACATCCACGCAAGCATCGTGGTACATACCAAAACATGACATTAGTACATTCTGGTTTATCCAAAACTAGCCGAAAACCTTCCCTTTGTCTTATATGCTCGGTGAAATAGGTTGCATTGTCGAAAAGTGTATCGATATGTTTCTCGAAGCCTTCACTGCCTTTAGCCTTCCACATAAACCAGAATTTCAACACGTCAGCTCGTCGCCCACACTGTATATGTTTGTCGCCGGTATCGTAAGAAGTGTCGTAGAATTTGTCCTTCTGAAAAAGATACTTGGCGTTGCTCGAGTGACACTCTTTGAGGACGTTCTTGTGTCTAATTAGAAAGGTAGAGCATTGTTGTGGCGCCGCCAAGAGCTTGTGAGGGTTCCACGTCACTGAGTCAGCTCTGTAAATTGTTTCAGATATTAACGTTTTGTCCCATTTTTATCAAATTAATAAAAATAATTGAAGATTTGAACAAATCTCCGATTTTAAAATAATAAGGCATTTTATTTAATGAAATATTATCATCATGGTTAAGGCAAAAAACAACACTGTTTCCTTTTAAGAAAGGATTCTCTTCTATTTCTCTTTCTGATTTGAATTAATATATTATCCAAAAGTTGAATTGAGTTTTAATTTGCGTGCTTAAAATAAAACTAAACGTGTTAATAATTCAAATAAAACAATAATCAAAATTGAATTCTCGAAATTTTGCAGGATAATTTAGGTGATTACTATCACTCAAAATCAGCCCGTAAAAAAATACGAAAGTGTTTTGTAAGTAAAAGCTGTTGTCAATCATTAAAATTCTAATTTACAAATTATGTCATATTTAGTATATACTTACAATTCAATTCCGTTTAAGAGATGTCTGTGTTTTTTCGACATAAGAGCACCACCACCCCAAGCCGCATCAACGTGTAACCACAGATTATATTTTTTGCAAATTGAGGATATCGGCACCAAGGGGTCAAATGCTCCATACACGGTAGTACCAGCAGTTGCGGTGACCAAAAAGGGGGTGGCTCCATCTTCAATAGCCTTAGAAATCTTTGCCTCTAAATCGTCCGGTATAATTTTACCATACTGATCCGTCTTAACTAAAACACAGTTGTCGCCACCTAAGCCCATAAAGGTGGCCATTTTCTTGGTGGAGTAGTGAGCAAGTTCTGACGTGAAGAGTACTAATTTTGGTACAGCGTAAACACCTTTGCTCTGAAATCAAAAAGCTTTCTAAGTATATACTTAACTTTATTGTAAGAAGAAATTGTTCGTAACACCAAGTGAAGGATTATAATAATAATAATTGTTGCAGGAACGCTTTTTTGCCCGCCTAAAAAAGTACTTAAAAGTCTTTTATCAGAGGGCAACAAGGTGCGAGCCTGCAATGGTTGGGTCATGCCGGTTCTGATGTATTCCTGTGGTATACTTAGATGGACTCAGACCGAATTAGATGCCCTTGACAGGAGTGTCCATACACTGCTGACTGCATTCCCAATGCACCACCCACATTCATCGGTTATAAGATTGTATATAACGGGAAAGCTTGGGGGTCGCGGAATATTAAATATCAAGATGCTACACATCGCAAAATATGCAATCTCAAAAAATATTTTCTACATAATGATGTGGGAGTGCATGGCAAAGTGGATACCGGATTCACCCCGCTCGCTCTGGCTAAAAAGAATTGACGCAAACCTGTAGTACTTAGTACTGATGATCGCAGGGAAGTATGGACGGGCAAAGAGCTCCATGGTCGGTTTTATCGGGCCCTAAACGACTCCGATATAGACTTAAAAGCATCTACGACTTGGCTACGGTATGGTGATCTCTTCGGAGAAACTGAAGGTTTTGTTTGTGCGATTATAGACGAAGTTATCATGACGAATAACTATCGGAAATATATCCTGAAAGATGGTACGGTTGACACCTGTCGGGCATGCCACCGTCCTGGGGAATCAATCAGGCATATTATTTCTGATTGTTCTCGTCTCGCTAACGGTGAATATTTGCACAGGCACAACTAAGTAGCCAGGATCGTACACCAACAGCTTGCCCTTAAATACCAACTTGTAAATCTAGAGGTGCCCTACTACAGGTATGTGCCCGACCCAGTTCTCGAGAATGGTCGTGCCACGTTGTATTGGGATGAATCTATTAGCACAGACGTCCTGTCCGTCCTGTCCTGTGTGTATTGTTGCCAATAAGCTGATATTGTGGTGATAGATCGATTAGAGCGCCGCGCAATGATTGTTGATATCGCCGTTCTTCATGACGAGAACGTGAACGTTGAAAAAGAAAAACGCATAAAATATTTGGATTTATCTCACGAGATTATCGATATGTGGAATGTGGATTCGGCGATCATTGTTCAGATAGTCGTATTGATTGATTGTTTGGCAAGAGCCTCCACCAACATACTAACTCACGTACGACGAAGGCAGTTCTCCTTGACACGGCCCGTATAGTGAGGAGGTTAATTATTTATCTGTCATTATAAATATAGTGTATATTTATATATAGTATATACATTTGTATAGTATATACATTATGTGAATACAGTATTCTATCAAACCCAATAAAATAAATAATTCCACAAAGCATTTAAAAGCAAGACTTTTATGTTAAAGCAGTTTTTGTTTACTTTTTTAAATTTAATTTATTCTAATAATATTATGTTGCTATGTTATACTCGTATATTATTTACATTACACTATTACTATGATAATGCGAACGAATCGACACACTGGTCGAAACAGCATTAGAATTAATTAGAACGTAACGTAGTGCATTATAATCATCCGATCTGATTAGGCAATAATATATAATTACAGTAGAATAAACCTACTGATAATGTGCCACAACACTAATTAATTTAGTATTACTCATATTTTATAGTAAGAGCCCTAAGAATATATAACGGATAAATCAGTTTAAGATTCTACTTATAGCGCATATTAAAAAAAATGAAAGTGTGCTGAAAGTAAAGTAAATTAAAAAATGTGATTTTATGAAAAATTTAGCATAAATAGAATATCATATACGCAGGGTACTTAAATAAATTACATTAGAATAAATTGTAATAAAAAAGATACATTAATAATGATACTAATACACATAATACATAAGTATTTATATACACATATACATTTATACATACATATTATTATACATATTATTATACATATTAAATATACATATACACAAAAAATTCTAGAAGAGAGAGGCATTCAGGTAGATCTGAAAAGGAGTTTCATTTTTTACAGCACGAGTCATGCCATCTGGTTTAGAAGCGATGAACTACATCATTCAGATTAATAACTAACAGGATAATCTGTGTTCAATTTAGCTTTGTTTGCTATCTCTAAAACATAATATTTTTAATGTTATAAATAAAATAAGTTGTGTCCTAATTCCTAATTCACACATAATTCACATTATAGTGACTCATTAAAAAATAGATACCTAGTGGGAAACAACACTTACCAGAAGGAATCAGTGAGATCGCATTAGTTGGTTCAGAAGTTAAAGAAGGATATCAGAGACAGAGATAGTTCATGGGGTTATTTACTCTTAAAATAAACCTATTTCTCTAACTAAATTATATTGAATAGCCTAAAATTACTTGCAATTATTGTAACCTCGACAATAAATAAATATGCGTAATTCGAAAATGAACGAGTTTTGTCTTTAAAGCAATATTCTCAATTTTTTTTTGGTTTTGTTCTCAACGCCATCTGATACACAAGACGTGAACTGCTTAGTAGACTGTTAGGTCCATACAAAACAGCGATCAGTCTGTTACCTCTACTTTAAGAACTATTTCCCACCTAATTTTTTACTGCAAGTTTAAAGATTTTTTTCAAATACATTTGCTTAAACATAGCAAACAAAACTTTTTGGTGTTGCACTGGGGTATGCTATGTGGATAATAAAATTGGGGCAGGCAGAGCATCAAAATGTTTGTCAAGAATAATTTATACATCATAAAATTCATCATTTGATCTATATCTAATAAGACCTTAACACCTAAAATATACGTTAATATTGAGTAGTCTGTTATCTAATAATATTATTTTAATTGACTATTATTGACACCAGGGGCGCTGTTGGCGAATATGCTACGAGATCCGCAATGGTATTACCAGACTGGTGTTAAGCCAAAAATGTACCTTTTTGTTGGCTATTGAAGCTTCTATGTCTTTTTTTTTCTGTCTATTCCTAAATACATACATATTACATTTAATGTACACCCATACATGATTTATGAATTATTAATATTTTGCCGAGTTGAGACTTGAGATGAGACCGAGATGAAACGTATAACTATTGAGCCAGATACTTGATATCCGGGCACCTTTCAAACTAGATAGTCGAATATCAGGCCGAACTTTGCTAATCGCCTGTCCTGGTTTTCGGAAGTAATGTCACGAGACCCGGGTAATTATCTTATTTATTTTATTTTTGGAAAACTTGAATCTTTTTTTATTTTCAGTTTTAAAACTGTGGCAAAAAACCAAGTAACATTTTAACAAATCCTTTTTTTTTTAGTTTTTAGGTCAAGGTCGTTGTTGAGAATTTCAAACATTGGACAATCAGTCACATCCAAGTTTCAGATTATACACATAATCCTATATATATTGATTGTTTTAAATATCTTGTACTATCTTAATTTCAACTTTTACTTTATATTAAAAAGGAAAAATGTTTTTTTTTAATTACCCATTTTAATTAACCTGCTTCGTGTAAAATTTAAATTGCTTTTTTAATTGATTTTCCATATTATTCTCCTTCATACTTTTACAAGGTGCTAGGTATGGTAAGGCAATAATAACAGTCTTGGTCATCATCATTTCATCTGTCCACTGCTGGACATAGGCTTTATATATACATATAACCACAGTATGCTATAAACTAACATCCAACGCATTTAAAGATTTTTTTCTATGAAATAAAGCACCAAGGTCTACATAAACCACGGCACGCTATAATAATAATCGAGTGAATTGGGGTTAAGGTAACTACCGAATGGTACACTTCCTGCAAAACTGCCAATCTATGTAGTGAAGTGTAGTGACTGCACAAAAGAGATGAAGTAATTTATCTAATAACCAGGTAATACCAAAACTGTAACTTCAAAGCTATTGTAGCTAATTTGTACTCAATAGAGTTTTAAGAATATATTACCTTCTGTAGCGTTATTTTGTATGTTACGTAAATGTTTGTTTACTTTACCTTTATTTATTTTTATGCGTTTTAGAATCAGACTTTCTTGTGGTTATGCTTGAAGTAAATTTATTGGAAGCCATTTGTACATTTAAACTTCCTGAATAAACTCATGAACAGAGACAAAGATACAAAATGATGATGATGCTATGCAAAGAGCTTTTACTGAAGTTAGAGTATTTTAAGAATATATTAATTTTTATAAATTAGTCTACACTTTTGATGCTTCATGATTTCTAGGTACCAGAACGGACTCTACTTAGATCATCAGATCAGATGTCAAAAATCTAAGGTTGTAACGAGTTACGTAAAATCGTGTGAAAGTATACAAGTATTTTAATTGTGGATGTAAGCCAAAGTGTTGACCATGAAAAACTAGAAGTGGCAATGATATTATTTTAAAAGTATATTATAATGCAAGCGAAATTGAAAACAATTAATATATAAGTACTTTAGAATCACTTCCTGCTTTTAATAGTCAACTACATTTATTAAACCGAACCGATTTGTAGCTACTATAAAAGAAAAACTGACCTTGGTTTCTGGATAGAAATAATGCCGAGCACAGCTGATAGCATAACCGTTGGCTATTGAACCTCCAGGACTAAAGATACCATCTCCTTCGCCATCTGCCCACCCCACTATACTCCTCATTTCTCGTAAAACTTCTTCTTCCATAAGAGTGAAGACTGGGGCCACTTCAAATGTATAGACGCTAGGATTTAGAGCATCAGTCAACCATTGGCCAACTAAACCGTAAGGATCCACAGAAGAAAAGAGCTGGTTCACAAAATAAGGATGCGCTGTGTTGACGGAGTAACGAGCCACCTGCAAAACCCAAATGACAAGCGTTGAGGAAAATGAACTAAGTGGTGTTTAGTCCTTGATATTGTTAATTATGCATTCAATCAAAAAGTCTATCAAAGTGTCAACTGCAGCGAGCAAATTAGAATGTCCTCTTTAAGCTTCAATAAACATTCAATAAAAAATGGTTATTAACATAGTCTACAACAATTTTCTGAAATTATACTTCTAACGTAATTAAACTGTGATTTAATGGTTGTTAGCGTTGCGTTTTTGGATCGTGTTCATGTGACATTTGTTTATAAGTGGGAATATATCTAAGATACATTTGCTCAAGAAATAATATAATACGTGTGCCTGTTTGCCCCCGAACGAACTAAAAAACAACATTATGGCAATTGTATGTATGAAAAATATTTTTATTTAAAACTATCATAAGAACAATTTATTAAAAAATGAATAAGTATTTAAAGTTTTTGATTAAATTTTTAGTGATCTTAAATAGGTATATGTGTCAAGAAAGCTTTACAACATTTAACTTCGAATACGGATTTGTAGTTTAAATTATTTAAAAATGTTTATTATAAATATTTAAAATATTTAATACTTAATTGATACTTTCAAATGTGATTCGAGTGAGTAAATAAATGTGTGCTTAAATATTTTAAGCACGGCTATAAAGTCTGACGCGATAGCGACACACTACCATAAGCACGACAAAAATATATAAAATCAGCTACATCAATTAATAATCTGAATAAAATCAAAGACTGCACGGATGGCGTAGTGGTTAAAGCGGTCGCCACGCCGCTTCCTACTTCGCCGAGTGTTGTGGGTTCAAACCCCACATGGGACGACGCTTTGTGTGATCCAGAAATTGTTGTCTTGAGTCTGGGTGTTCTTTGTGTCCATTTCATGTATGTTTGTAAAGTCCCCCGCGACACAGGATATATTCCTAATGCGGGAGTTGTCTTTTTAAAAGAAAAAAAAAACTATGTGTAATTAATTATAACATTTTGTGTAGCTTAATGCGTTAACCACTCATTGCGTCAATTATAAGAAGCATTTTAAGTTGCCTTGTGATCTCTTTGAAAAAGTGATTTGTTTTTTATTTTACCGAAATATTAATCACATAACCTTTACCCAATTATCTAAAGGAATTATTTTGGGAATTACGAGTTCAGTAATACTACCATAATAATGACAATCATAAATCACTTTTAGTCATTCACCAAAATATTTTATTATAATATCTAAATTACTACAATATAGATTTATTGATTTCCATAAGTAGACAAAGCCTATGTGCCTAAACAGGTAGAGTGATTATACAGAAGTAATCGTATTATAAATAGTGATGACTCTGCTTAAACTAATATTTTGTAAAAAGTAACTATCCGTGAAGTGACGGATTAATAATAAGGAGTATCACCACCCTCGTTCATTCCGTGGGTGTCGTAAGAACTGACTAAGGGAGCAAACTACGCAGGCCAACAGCACTGCAAAGAGAAGGAAAACTTGAAACAACCCCTATACCAACCCGTCTGGCCAGCGTGGTATAGTAGGCCAAAACCTCCTTTTTAATAAGACGCCTTTGTCCAGCAATGGACTAACAGAGACTATTGATAACGATGATGAAAATGAAGGAATGAGCATGTTTATGTTCAAGTACTAGCTGCAATTTGAATGCAACATTTTATTATATCTTACTATACTTTTAGAAATAAAATTAGACGTTTTAACATGCAAGTAAATTATACAGTGAAACACCTTTAAGTCTTAGAGCGGAATATTATTTGTGCAAAGCCTGACTCCTCCTAAACAACTTTTGTATTCTAAAAAGTAATGTCACAATCATACCTAGGTGATTTTTTTAACGTTTAGAATCGTAAATATAAACACAGCAATCAAATTTCATCATTCATATATTCATTTCGAAAAAGTGTACTCACATCAGCCATAAGTCCTAAGAGCTCATCGTGTGTGGCTGGACTGTCCCTCGGCCGCAAATCTATTGCTGTTGCGATGTCCTGAGGTGCAGACCATTCCACTACTTTGGATGTTCTTAAAGATCTTCCAAAGACCACTCTCTCAACCAACAGGTCCACTGCTCGCCTTATAAAATCTTCATGGTTCGACCTTTCAGCCAAACTTTTGAAATTGTTTCTGCTCTCATGTCGGTCATCCCCGTTAGGAACAATTAGATCTGAATCGGCAGGCATTTTTCCTTTATCTTCTTTCACTTTACACGTCAATTATAGTTGAAGAAATAAAGCTAATATTGCATTTGTTATTGTACCGTAAATGGCCGCTGCGGCCGGCCGCGAGCCTCTGGACCTAAGGTTTGGCTCGATAATCAGCGCGTAGCCTTCTTAAATACTAATGTTCACAGTCATTCACTAAATAAGGCCCTTTATGCACTGTGTCGCACTACCATACTCTAGTGCGAAACAATTTAATTTTTCTAAGCTATCTATGACTATACAGTCATAGATGGCTTAGAAAAATTAAATTATTTCAAGGTAAATATATACTATTATGTTAGGTTAATAATAACTAAAATTCTAAACTTGACACTTATTTAACCTTTTTCACAAAAAAAAAACATTCATTATTAATAGATTTATCTCATAATTATTTTGATATTTCAAAGACAGATTTAATAAAATTAATTTGATCTAATCCGAGTACTTTCACAATTTTGAATGAATAATTTTATTCGATATTTGAAACTAAATTTACATTAATTTAATTTAGCCGACATTGAATATTGACTAAAATTTACATACAAATTCTTTTGTTTAAAGATATTGCTTAAAATAGACTTTATTCAAAAAACACTAAAACAATTATCAAAATAAACTTTCTTAAGTTTAACATTTTAATTATGCCTAAAAAAACTATTGTTATTAAATTCGTCCGAATAATGCCACTTGAAAGCTTTATTACGAATTTTTTTCGATCGAACGTTCTAGGTTTGCTACCGTTGCTTGACAACCTGTTTTTGAAGACAATATACATTTATAAGTACTTAAATGTGAAAGATACATTTATGACTTGATATTGAACTGAGTTGCATCCTGGACAAATATTGTGTAATGAGCATGAACATGCGTTCTGTGTCTTGGGTGCAATTTATATCTAATATTATGGATGTATTTAGAAATATTTAAGTATGTTTATCAGCAGTCTTGTTACCATAGGACAGGCTGTGCCTAGTTAGGGATCAGACGGCCGTGTATTTGATTCCGTATAAAGTTACGAGTACGAGAGTAGGAGTATTATTATTTCCTTCCAGTCATTTGCTCCAATTTTCAATTGTAAACAGTTGAAAGCAGTTAAGTACATCTTTTCTAGATTTTATTAGAACGATTTCTTATCGCGCTGTACACGCTCTGAGTGGATGGGAGCGGGACCGAAAAATGTGTAACAACTTTTTTGCATGTAGGCGGGTAAATTACAAAAAAATAATATTGCAGAATGACATTAAAGTTTAAAGTTAAATTTAGACGTGATGGTATCACGGAAAAAGAATAGATTAATTGTGCGTATAGTAAATTCTCTAAAAATGCTCTCTGAATGATTAAGATGAGATTAAGTAGGTACATAGATTACTTTATTACTGTGCTGTTTAAATAACAAGCTGGGTAAGCACCTCAAGGCTATAAATTACCTAGGTACCGTACAAATACAATAATATTAACCAACCGTTTAAGTGAACGGCGGAACGTTAATTAAAGATAATCAAGAACTGATCAATTACGGTCTAATGCCCACAATGGTTCATTCACTACACTGTAAATACTTTACTCTGTACTTGATTACAGATACCTTCTGCCTGAAAAAAGTGACTCAAGGTATAAAATGACGTCACGGATGCAACAAACGAAACGTGAAAGAGTAAAATGTGTCAAAACATTAAATTAAAAAAGTAGTCAGAAATCGATATTCTTATTATTTATACATCTAATCTTTAAAGCAGAAGAGTTATTTTTATAATTGAGTACAAAAATCTCTGGAATTATCAGCCGGTAGCACTAGCCTTGTATCAATTCAGCTAAGCCTTGCATTGACCTACGCTTGGTTAACATGAATTCGAGGCTTTAAGTTAACTATGACAATATGAACCAATTATTAAATGTTAAATCGGAATTGACATTACTTCAAGAACTAAAGTACTCGTATACTAGTTATGGATTCTTTTATGTTTTACACACATGCATTTGTTGTTGTCCGAACACGTGTGTTGTTGTTGTGTGAGTTGCTCCGAAGACGTATACAAGTCGTATTAAAAGCCCGGATTTTGACGTCCGTCATTTTAGTGTCACTTTTTAGTGTCCAAGACAGAACACGTGTTCATGCTCATCACACAATATTTGTTTTGTTTCAAAATCAAGTCATAAGTGTAGTGGCGAATTTACAAATTTGCCGCCAGTAGGCTAATAAATTTTTGCCGCCCCTTCTAACCTCTGTAATTGCTGCTTTCGTTCCGCGATGCAGTATCAGTAATCAATAAGTAGTTCAGGACTTCTTCACTAGTTGATGTTAAAGCATTTTTTTTTGCTGCATGTGAAATCACCAGAACTGAAGTGGTCATTTTTTACTACTTGTTCCATTAGATTTTATAAAACGTCATTGATGATAAAATCCGTTTGTAAATAAAGTTAGATAACTTGGCATCTTAAGTCTTATGTTATTGTTGATAGATTGCCAATGCAAAGTGCTAGTCTGTTTGATTCCGACACACCGCCCCGACGCAAACCCCGGTGACAGTGAAAGCGTAATAGGAAAACCCACCTTCGCAAGAATTTATGACATTGTTATTCTCAATAAAATAAAATACACATATCGATACTTATCGGACTGACTATATGATGTCCTATGTTTATTGAGCAAAAAATGACCACTTAACCTACAAATGATAAAAATGGAACATCAGATCTTACTAGAAATTTATAATCTCGAGTAGATTTTCATTGAATAGATAGTGCTCTTATACCAATAATTTACTGACAACATAAAGAGAAGATTATCATCAAGAAAACCTTCTTATTACGAAACTACGGTATTAGCACAAGCAAATAAGTTCACATAAAGCCGATATCAGAGTGTTGAACACGCACTGAACCACGAAACGTTACGTATTATAAAAATGCCTAACGTCTAAACCTCTTGTGCCGAAAGTTACTTAAAAATACACAGTCCTTACAGGATCTCTAGGTCACCTGTAATGCTCACTATTACACAGTATTATGACAATTTATATTCCTCAAACAAAAAATATCACAAGTAAAAGCCTTTTATTAGGTAATCTAGACACTGATAAACAAACTTTTAATCATAATTTTTAACTTGGTGTGGGCGCGCTACGATAAAAGTGTACTGAAACGCGTAAATAATGTTATTTTTTTATTTAAAGTTTATGACCGAGTAATTGCTCAATTCAGAACATTTACACAGAATGTCAGAATACTTAGCCACGTTCACCTGTCAAACTTTAAAGATATACGATTCCTTTTTATAAATAATTATTCTTACAATTTTTATGTGTAATAATATTTAATTTGTAAGTCATGGCCGCCAGAGGGGGTCACAAATTATTTTTTAAACTGTTTTAATACTACATACGATAAAAAAAAATCGCCCACGCTTCACAGCTTATCTAGAATTTGAACATGAAAATATAACCAGTTAACCTATGGTTACTACGTGATATAAACGAACAGACCTACTGGTATAATGTTGTATTAAAAGCTCCATTTTATCGAGCTTAAAATTTTTGCCTTGTCTTGACATTTTTGATTTTGAGATTTGTTTGACAACACCTATAGTTCTATAGCAATAGTGAGACATACAAACCAAAATGGCATTTAGACACAAAGATAGACTTAACCCACCAGCTGCCCGACTCAAATTTGTAATGTACTTAAAAATATACAATAAGTTACCCAAAACCATAAAACAATCAGAAAAATATAACAGTTTCACCAATAATTTTATTTATGACCATCCCTTATACTAACTATAGTATTATTATCTAGTCAAACATCTCGGTTGCTGTTGTTTCATTCATAACAATATTTATATTTGTATTTTAAAAGCCATGTAACATTATGTTCAAAGTAGTTTAATATTGATTGGGGCTCTACCAGTCAACCTTCGTATATTGGAGAAATAGAATAAGGTTTTAAACTATTTAAAATTTTGCCCGGTCCGGGAATCAAACCCACTAAGGTAGCGCTTTTCAAATTCCACGCGAACGAATTCGCAGGTACAAAGTTAGTTAAAAATAATGACACAAATAATATCGCACAGAGCCGAGGGCAAAGTTAGTCTTCTTATGTATAATTAAAGCATTTTACGTCTCATATTCATTTCCGGTCGGTTGTCTTGGTGCCGGCGCACACGAGACTATTTATCATAAGCTACCGTTGCTTGTGTTAAAGAATTTTCGGAAGTTTACGGAAAACTAAGTGCCTAACATTTGATCACTACCCATAAGTATACTAATAAATCGTTAGAAATAGAACACAATAAAGCACTCATACAGTCTCCAATTATGGCGATTCCCTACCAATCCTCTAAAACTATTGAATTAATCTCTAAATTGGTCGACTTAGATTAAAATTAACAAATATAAGCAATCACTAATGCGGTCCTAAATAGTAATATATTGACGCAGGGATCGATCGCAGCCAGTCCTGAATATAATGTCGTACCGTTATTATCGCAAAATTGCTAGTACTCGCCGATAGAAGCATGTGTGCGTTGGCCCTTAACTTTACTTAAGAGGGCGTATAAAGCAAAATTACCAATCTTATTTTTGATTTTACATGAAAAATTCCGGACCAAATCTTAAAATAAAAATGTGTGGATAACTACATTATATTTCCGAGGGTTCACATTGATCAAAAACATGAAATAATAACATTTCCTCGATAGAAAAAAATTACGAAGTAACCTCTAATTCTAATATTTTTCCGTTTTGTACTCGATATGGTAATGCCTATTGCGACAAAAATTTGATAATTAATTATACTTTTACAAGAGTAAAGGCTTTGTTTAGGCATTTTATGTAATTCCTTTTAGTTTTGGATATATTTGGATATAACAGTTTTGGCGCATACTACGTTTTTATTCCTTTATTATAAGAATTCATCGTCCGTCGCACGTTGCGGGAGCTTCAAGCATATTTCTATTTCAGACATCAGTCGCTACCGCT